CATGACTACATGTTGATTGTGTGCATGTGTATGACTTGCTTTTAGTTATTGCACCAGCATTTGCCATTACAGGTGTTCATGTAAAAACATTGGTCGTTTGATCTCTCATCTCCTAAGTCTTTGGTGGCAACTGCCACCGCTGTGTGTTTTCAAAGCTGTCGGCGCAAACCAGAGAGTGTACAGAACCACCCTGGAATGTGCCAGAGCAGACGTGGCATCAGATGAGTATGCTTGAGAAAGGAGTGTGCATGCTCCAAAACGCATAGCCATGCCCCCTTTCCAGGTGGGAGGTCCTCAATCCGACACCGCGTCCAACCCAATGTGTTCTAGGGTGGTTCCAAATACTTCCTGGTTTTCTCAGACAGCAGTGAACACATAGTGGTGGAGGCTTGCAATGAAGACTAGAGATCAGACCACCCGGTGTTTTTACATCAGAGCATCCCATCTTTTCTTGTGAGTTTCAAACTTTTTAAAACCGCTAGCCTACCGGGCACTTCTACCCCCTTCCTGCCCACTGGGCACTTCTACCCCCTTCCTGCCCACCGGGCACTTCTACCCCCTTCCTGGCTGCCCACCGGGCACTTCTAACCCCCTTCCTGCCCAGGCCAATTTGCAGCTTTTCAGCGCTGTCACACTTTGAATGACAATTGCGCGGTCATGCAACACTGTACCCATATGAAATGTTTAGAATTTTTTTGAGACAAATAGAGCTTTCTTTTGGTGGTATTTAATCACCTCGGGGATTTTTTTTTTTCTTAAACAAACCAAAAACCACTGAAAATTTTGAAAAAAAGTTTTTTCTTAGTTTTTATACAATTTTGTAAATAAGTGATTTTTCACCTTCACTGATGTGCGCTAATGAGGCTACAGTGATGGGCACTAATAGGCTGCACTGATGGACACTGATAGCTGGCACTGATGGCCACTGATGAGGAGGCACTTGTAGGTTGCACTGATGGGCATTGACAGGCATCACTGATGGGCACTGAAAGGCAGCACTGATACATGACACTGATATATGGCACTGATAGGCGGCACTGACTGGCACTGATAGGCAGCACTGACTGGCACTACTGATAGCTGGCATTGATTGGCAGCACTGATAGGTGGCACTGACTGGCTCTGATGGGTGACATTGAAAGGCAGCTCAGATGGGCACTGATATGTGGCATTGATGGGCACTGGTATGCACTGATGTGTGGCATTGATGGGCACTGGTATGCACTGATGTGTGGCATTGATGGGCACTGGTATGCACTGATGTGTGGCATTGATGTGGCACTGATGGGCACTAGCATGTGGCACTGATGAGCATTGACTGCTGGCACTGATGGACACTGACAGGTGGCACTTCTGGGGCCACACTGATCATCAGGGCGCCCCGATGATCAGTGTACATGTCCCCTCCGCGGAAAAACCGATTGCCGGCTCTCCTCTCCTCTGTCAGCGTGACAGCTCGAGAGGAGAGAAATGCCGATAACTGGCATTTCCGTGTTTACATGCGATCAGCTGTGATTGGACACAGCTGATCACATGACCAAGCCAACATCTTCGGCTCTTTCCGTGATCCGCTGTGTCCGAGGGACACAGCGCACCGGCGATCGCTGCGCTGCAAACTCCCTGAGCCACGCATGCATGGTGAGAATGGAAGGACGTCATATCAGAACGAGAGAACCACCTTGAACCCGTCATTGTACTATAGGGCCGGCGGAAGGTGGTTAAACAAACAATAATTTTTGATGCTACTTAGTTGGCGCATCCTTTCCCCCCCCCCATTTGTGCTCACTTAGCAGAAATTGCTTCTCTCTCTTCTGAGAACGGCCTCAAGTGTATATGCTTTTCCATACCCAGATGAACTTTTATTTTGGACTGGAAACTTCCCTTTGGACTGCAAAACTATATTACAGTTTTCCTAGGTCTACATTGCTATTATCCTCTGATTGGAGCTTGGAGGGTTTAACCCTTTGTGCACCATATATTTATATTTTTAGTTTGGCGCCATGGTAACTGCATATCAAGTAGAGACAGGGTGGCAGTTTCCTTCGCTGTAAAGGATGGGAAGGTTTAGTTCCTCTTTAAGAGTGAATTCTAAGAGCTTCTAAATACTCAAAAATACATACTGTACAGTATAAAAAAAAAATTGAAAATCCTTAGGCAAAGAAGACCATTCAGACAGTTGTGTGATCCTCTGCCAAGAAATACAGCCTTCGAATAGGCAATATAGTGTGGTCAAAGAGTTACACCCTCTCCCCAGCCTGTGAAGGGCCTTTATGCCCGATAGATGCATCGCTGAACAATGTTCAAGACCTTGACAAAAAAAGGGAGTAAACACATGAAATTCTTAAAAACTTGCACCCCTTTCATGATTCTTACGTTACCCCAACAGCAGATTCATCAACTATATCAGTCCTCCAGAACACTACTTGGTACCATGTGTGAGCAAGCCTACAAAAAACCCTGGGACCCCCGACTGAGATGGCGCTCAGGCTTCCTCTGACTGATATAGTCCAGTGTAAACTCACAGGTTCTATAACGTGACCCACAGCAATGTTTTAGCAAATTGCTCTTCCACCCCTTCTTCTACCCATGCTGGTGTGATCACAATAAGTCATCCACCGAAGTCTGCTGGGAATAAAACACTTCCAAGAGTTTGTCTCCTGGGTTCCTCCAGCTTTCAATGGTTCCTTCTGCTGACCTCCATTCATTATGGTGGACAGTAGTGCTGTAGAGGTTAGCAGGACAGAGTTGTGGGGGACCTAGGAGATTGAAATTCCCCAAAGTTTAGGTATTTTTAGCCAACTTCAAGTCAGAATTACAATACTGTAGAGCACCAATCCATTGAACATAGTTACCCAAGTGAACTGTTAAAACTTCTTTACCTCTAGTAAACTAATTCGACTCCCCAACCGCATCCCCAAAGGAAGCCCATAGGACACTGCCCTTCTACATACCAACATAAGGTACTATCCTAGCTGGATCTGAAGGTCATCAAATGGCAGGAGATCCTTTGGCAGCTTATCAACCCCAAGGAAGCCCCTATTAAAAGTCAGCAGCCACAGTATTTGTAGAAGTGGCAGGGGCCAGAGCTCTGCTTCAAATAGGCTGTCCACTCTCGCAATTGTCCCCCAGAGCCCAAGGTGAAGATGTGTCGACTTCCATCATCCAGTAATGTTTTTTAGAAATTCTTTGGGGTTGATTTACTAAAGGCGAATATACTATGTACTTTGCAAGTGCAGTTGCACTCAGCAAGGGGATTTGCTCCAGAACTTTGTAAATGAGGTGAAGCTTCGCTTTGCAAAGAATACCCAATCAATGGAAGAAAAAAAGAAAAAAAAAAAGCATTTTACTTGCATGTGATTGGATGATAGAAGTTAGCAGAGCTCACCCTCATTTATTAAGGTTTGGAGCAAATGCCCTTTCAGAGTGCAACTGTACTTGCAAAGTGCACAGTCTATTTGCCTTTAGTAAATCAACCCCTTCGCATAGTGAGATGGCATCACAATCACTAATCTCTGGGGAAAATTACTTTGCAAAGTGCAGCTTCCTTTGTAGGCTGGAAGCCAAGAACAGGTGGACATGACCAGGGCTGTCTTAGTGGCATCATGGGCCCCTGGGCAAAGTAATGCACTGGGGCCCCTACCATCCTGCCCCAATTTACAAGTCTACTCCCAAGAAATAAGGTATAAATTGTTGACAGAATTAAACATCTTAGTACTTTCAATAAATTTGATTTTAAACAATGAGAAAGACATAAATCAAAGGGCACGGTACAGTGGGTGGGGGGGGAGGGCACAGCGAGTAGACACGGCACGGGGGGTAGGCAGGACGGCACGGCACAGGGGGTAAGGCAGGACGGCACGGCACAAGGGGTAAGGCAGGACGGCACGGCGAGTAGACACGGCACGGGGGGTAGGCAGGAGGGCACGGCACAGGGGGTAAGGCAGGAGGGCACGGCACAGGGGGTAAGGCAGGAGGGCATGGCACAGGGGGTAAGGCAGGAGGGCATGGCACAGGGGGTAAGGCAGGAGGGCACGGCACAGGGGGTAAGGCAGGACGGCACGGCACAGGGGGTAAGGCAGGACGGCACGGCGAGTAGACACGGCATGGGGGGTAGGCAGGAGGGCACGGCACAGGGGGTAAGGCAGGACGGCACAGGGGGTAAGGCAGGAGGGCACAGCACAGGGGGTAAGGCAGGACGGCACAGGGGGTAAGGCAGGATGGCACGGCACGGGGTAGGCAGGATGGCACGGCACGGGGTAGGCAGGACGGCACGGCATGGTTGGTAGGCAGGATGGCACGGCACAAGGAGTAGGCAGGAGGGCACCAGCCAATTACATTCAATGACATTCTATTGAGCCATTCTCTATACAGTTACTGACATGGTTCCCAAGTTACACAAGTTGAGGCCTAGTTCACCCGTCCTATTAGACACACCTTCAGCATAATCCAGTCATCAGAACCTACTGCAGTGTCCACCCTCTGCGGGCCAAGCCACCCCACTGCTTCCTCTGAAATTGTCTGACATCCATCTGGGGACACTTGTCCTTGTTGGCATTTGCTACTGCAGCCTAGAGAGGAATTAACCCATTGTTAGCAATTGTCTCTGCCCACCCCTGAAACCTCTTGCTTAAAACCTGCATTTCATCTTGTGCCTTAAAAGGTGTACTGCACAAGTTAAACACTTAAAGGGATAGTTCCTTTTGAGGAACTTCCACCTGTTACAACCAAGGAGATATGAATTCTTTTAGTGCACCAACTGGGCCCCAACAAGCGCACAGAAGATCTTACACTGCAGTTGCAGGAACATTAGCTTTCCTAATTAAAGAACCCTTTCTTCATCTCAGATCTTAAACTTGTCATCAGCTTCTGAGGGCCCAGAAGTGAGCCGAGCCTTATTCCTTAGTAGTTTCTCCTGTTGCTCACTGGGGACACAAACATCTCAGAGTTGAGGCACTTTGTTAAATTCTGATTTGTAGGACGTCCAGAACGGATTGGGATTTTTACTGTATGTATTGGCCTTTGCTTAAAGTTACTAACTTGTTTACACACCTAGAATTCTGTGCTACTTTACTGTGCTTTAGTGATGGCCATGATGTTTGAGTCGGACTTTAATGGAAGTCGCCTCCAAGTCGGATTCTATATTGATGTGACTTGGATCCGACATTACAGGAAGATTACCCAGGCATTCCCTGAAAGTCACATCCAAGTCACACCCAAGTTGCAAGGAAGTCACCTGGAAAAGTCGCACACGACTTTCAGGTTGCAGGAGTGTGAACCGAGACTAAGGATTTAATCATACTTGGAACAAAATCAGATCTATACTCCGTAAAAAAAAAAAAAAAAATTGGGCTCATTGGATGGACCAGTTGGTCTTTTTTCTGCCATCGTTCTTCTACATTTCTAGAGTGAAAAGCCTATTTGCCTTTAGTAAATCAGCCCCACTGAATATGGAGCGTAGGGATAGGAAAACACATCAGACAATCTTTGCCTTTGTGTGGGTTCTTTAGGGGTGGAGACCGATTTCCCAACCATTGCGCCTCAAACTGGCAACAATTACTATGTCATTTTAGTGAATTCCAGATTTCAAAAGGCCCCAGCTGTGACTGAGCATTGCAAGGTCTTTCTTTAGACTTTAACAGGCACTAGAAGCATTTAAGCGCTCCGGTTCTCTCTTTAGTCAGATTTTTTTACATGTATTTTAATTGCCCTTTTTCTCCTGACAAATTGCTGCCAAACCACAAACCTGAAAAGTAAAAATTTTAACTTTGCTGTTAAAGAGTGCCAATTCTTTGGAACATACAAAAGACGGAATATTATTTAACTTATCAATAGTAAGTAACAAAATGATGTTTTGATGCAGGGAGGCACTTGTACAAAAAGAAAAAAAAACAAAAAAAAAACACTATTGGTAACAGTCTCCATGGGAGCACCAAAATTTGACCCCCCCCCCCAGGTACTTTGCCTTCTCCCTATCCAGGAGACACAGCAAGGAGCCTAAAAGGGTAGAATTTGGCGATGACTCAATTCACAAAATAATTGTTAGGCGAAAGCTGAAAGTTTTGTATCAAATACAATTTTCCTTTCTTGACGCAAAAAAAAAAACCCCCAAAAAAAAAAAAAAAAAAAAAAAAAAACAACAAAAACCCCCCCCCCCAAAACAATACCAAAACAAAAAATAGAAATAAAACCCACACAAAAAGCAAAGCCCCCTTCAAAAAAAATAAAAAAAAAAAATACCAAAACACCCCCACCCAAAAAAAAAAAAAAATAGAAAAAACCCACAAAAAATACCACAACAAAACCTCCCTCCCCAAAAAATAGAAAACCCCCCCCCACAAAAAGCAAAGCCCCCTTAAAAAAAAAAAAAAGGGGCAGACTCTCTGGACCACTCAGTCTTTTTCGCTTTTCTCGGTTTCTATAATCCATGGCAGCATGCTACATGTATGCTGCCATGTTGGCACCAGGAAAGTGGGATGCACTATGGCCGCGGTTCCCAACCTCAGTCCTCGAGTACCACCACTAGATTTTCTTTCAAAGGTTTTGCGCCCCTTCTGCAGGTGCTTTAAGTCAAAGTCGATGGCTTGGCATTCGAAGAGATCTACAGTATGTTATCCATGAAAAAAATTACCAAAACAGCTTGTTTGGGTTGCTTGGGGACTGAAGTTGGGCCTTTTTCATGTTTAGATGCAAAAAAAAAAAAAAAAAAAATGACACCACTTGCTATATTCATGTCCTAGCTCTAAGAACACAGGTGTCAAACACAAGGCCCGAGGGCCAAGTCCGGCCCCTCCAGGCCATTTCATGTGGCCCTCAGACCTCTCCTGCAGCTGTGGCACTCCATCTTCAACTTGTCTTAGAAGTCAATAGAAGAGAGGAGGACAGATCTCCTCTACTAGATCCTGCTCTTCTCCATGCAGCCACAGAGGTTCATTTCTGCAACCCCCCACTCTTGGGATCAGCAATTGTCAGCAGAGAGGACAGAACTCCTCCTACAGATCCTGAACGTCTCTGTGTAGCCGCAGCACCCCCTTGTCTCCACCTCTTGCAGACTTCAGCAGCTGACTCTGGCCCTCTTTTGCTCCTCCTCCAGACCCTGCACTTTCTGCTTCCCAGCTCCGCCTCCAGATTCTTCCCAGCAGCAGCACAAGGTAAAGGGGGTGCGCTGTGATGTAATGGGAGGGTGGGGTGCTCTGGACATCTAGTCTTACAGATACTACCGGCCCTTTGAGGGCAACCATAATGCTGATGTGGCCCACCATGAAATGGAGTTTGACACCCCTGCTCTAGACAATTTTTTTCTAAGACGCAGTAGAAGTGGTCCATCACCAATAAGATCTTCAGATTTCAGCCAGATTATTCATGAAGTGCCTTAATGTGTCTTGCATGACTTTTCATATACGGCTCAGACATGCATTGAGCATCAAGGAGCTGTGACATGGGAACGGTGCTTCAGTCGAGCAAGTCTGAGTCTTGGAGAGGAAGTTGTTGTGGTTGGGGGTTAAACTGAGACCAGTAGAGAGGCTCCTACCACCAGCAGGATAGATATACAAGCAGGTCACCCTACCCTGGTGGATGGTGCGGGTTCACCCGAGGTTCAGGGTCTAAGCACCAATGATGGAGATGTGTTTGCTGTGTATTAGTACCAGGTTGTGGCCCCTCAGGACCTCCCTATCAAGAAGCGAGCAAGCCGGGGTCCAGGAGCAGATAAAGCAGATTGGGATCAAGCAGATATCTAAGCAAACAAGCCAAAGTTTGTCAACAAGTGGTTGCAGGTTGGGCTCAAGAGGAATCGTAATCAAAGAACAAGCCAAAGGTTGGCAACAAGTGGTAGCAAAGATAGGAACGACAGCAGGTGTGACAAGAGCAAGATGTTGGCTGAAGAGCACAATAATCAGGCAAAGAGGAGGTGAAAAGACATGGCTTAAATAGGAAGTCCATGGGAGGCGCAAAGAGTTCAAAGTTCATGAGAAATAAGGTACAAGGCAAGATTGTCTTAGGGATCGTCCAAGGAGCTGTCCAACATCTCAGGTTACATAGTTAGTCTGGCTGAAAAAAGACAAAAGTCCATCCAGTTCCACTATAAAATAAAAAGTTATAATCCCACAGTTGATCCAGAGGAAGGCAAAAAAACCAGCAAAGCACGATCCAATCTGCTCCTGCAGGGGAAAAAATTCCTTCCTGATCCCCCGAGAGGCAATCGGATATTCCCTGGATCAACGTTCCCTATAAATGTTATATCCAGTTATATTCTGTGTATCCAAGAAAGAATCCAGGACTTTCCTACAGCAATCCACTGAGCCGGCCACAACCAACTCTGAGGGAGTCTATTCCACATTTTTGCTGAGGTTGCTCAGCAAGAAGAGTTACTGCCAGACACAGCAGAGGACCCGGATTTACACCCAGGCCCTGACAGACTTGCATTGGGACCGTGGTGAACAAACATTGCCGATGTGAAAAGGCTTTAATGGTTCGTTTTAATTTTTAGTACAGTGTACCTTTAGTGTATCCAATCTAAACCAAACTCCAGACACTTTTGTCCCCCACCAAATCCTGTGAAGAAAAAAAAAAAAAATTCTGAATTAGTACTCGCCCTCTACACATTCCTGTGGTGCCCATCACGTCCTCCTCCATGGTCCAGTGTCATCCAACCCACTTCCTAGAAGTCCAAAATGTCAAGGACCCACCCTATAGAGGTGCGTCACCCTAGACTCAGGAGAATGAAACAGAGGACACATTAGGTGGACCAAAACTGGACTTTTTTGTAAGTGTTGGGGTGCTCCAAGAAGGAGGGCCACAGACCACAAGTGCGCAAGTTACAGCAGCTTACATGTTTTGGTAAAAATAAAACCTGATGATGGTTTTGAAGAAGTTTTTTTTTTTTTTTTTTTTACCAAAAAGGCGTAAGCTGCTGTAACTTGCACACTGTACCCTTCGTGAATAAAGTACTTTTAATCGGGAGAACAAGTTCACCTTAGTTATGGGGGAATTCCTGACCTCTGATGGTGAGGTGCTCTGGACATCTAATCTTAACCACTAGCCTACGGGCACTTATACCCCCTTCCTGCCTCCCGGGCGCTCCCACCCCCTTCCTGCCTCCCGGGCGCCCCCTTCCTCTGCCGGGCACTTATACCCCCTTCCTGCCTCCCGGGCACTTATACCCCCTTCCTGCCTCCCGGGCGCTTCTACCCCCTTCCTGCCTGCCGGGCGCTCCCACCCCCTTCCTGCCTGCCGGGCGCTCCCACCCCCTTCCTGCCTGCCGGGCGCTCCCACCCCCTTCCTGCTCCCACCCCCCCCTGCCGGGCGCTCCCACCCCCTTCCTGCCTGCCGGGCGCTCCCACCCCCTTCCTGCCTGCCGGGGCGCTCCCACCCCCTTCCTGCCTGCGGGCGCTCCCACCCCCTTCCTGCCTGCCGGGCGCTCCCACCCCCTTCCTGCCTGCCGGGCGCTCCCACCCCCTTCCTGCCTGCCGGGCGCTCCCATCCCCTTCCTGCCCAGGCCAATTTTCAGCTTTCAGAACTGTCACACTTTGAATGACAATTGCGCGGTCATGCAACACTGTACCCATACATAATTTTTATAATTTTTTGGAGACGGCTTTCTTTTGGTGGTATTTAATCACCTCGGGCGGGGAGGGGGGGGGGGGGGGGGGGATTTTATGCTAAACAAACCAAAAACTTAGCATTTTGAAAAAAAAGTTTTTAGTTTTTGTTAAAACTTTGTAAGTAAGTGATATTTCACTGTCACGGATATGCGCTAATGAGGCTGCAGTGATGGGCACTGAAAGACAGCACTCATATATGGCACTGATAGGCGACACTGATAGTTGACACTGAAAGGCAGCTCAGATGGGCACTGATATGTTGCATTGATGGACACTGACAGCTGGCACTGCTGGGGCTACACTGATCATCAGGGCACACTGATCTTCAGTGCTTTGATGATCAGTGTAGATGTCCCCTCTGAGGAATGCTGATTACCGGCTCTCCGCTCCTCTCCTCTGTCAGCGTGACAGCTCATAAGGAGAGAAATGCCGATAACCGGCATTTCCCTATTTATACGAGATCAGCTGTGATTGGACACAGCTGATCACGTGACCGAGCCGAAATCTTTAGCTCTTTCCGTTGATCGGTGATCCGCTGTGTCTGAGAGACACAGCGCACCATCGATCGCCGTGCTGCATGCTCCCGGAGCTGCGCATGCACGGTTAGAACGAGAGAACCGCCATGCGCCCGTCATTGCCTTATATGGCGGGCGGGAGGCGGTTAAAGGTACAACCAGCCCTTTGAGGGCAGCCATAATGCTGATGTGGCCCATGATGACATTTTGTTTGACACCCCTGATTTAGATCGAGGAAAAAGGTAAAAGTTTTAAAAAATTGAGTTATGCAGTTCAGGAAAATGCAAATGTTAACATGAGGTGAGTGTTTCACAATTGTTTTCCCTTTGTATACGAGAAATATTTCTTCGATAAGATATATTCTGATTTTTGCGCTCTCTCGTTTAGGACGACAGTTTTATTGTAGGAAGCAATAATAAAGATTTAAAAAAAAAAAAAAAGCTTGGTCTGGAGTTGGACCTAAAGAACTAAAGTACAGGTCTGCTTTAACCATCAATCTCGGGTTAGAGACAATTTAAGGGGAGGGAAGATTTCACACCTAATACTAAGGCAAAAATGGAAAATCATCATTTTATAAAATGCCTTTTTGTTAACCACTACTCTTTACATTACCAGTCAATTTCCAAAGCTTAACGGTCATTTGAAAATAGCTATAGAAAGGGGAAAAAAAAAAAGAAAATCAGAAGCAAACTGCTATTTCCTTCAAATTACTTCAGTCCATTTATTTCCTGGAGGCTTCCATCCCGAGGTCAGATTTCCACTCTGGAATAATCACAGAGAAAGCTACAGAAAGAACATCCTCTGCAAGGTAACTATGTCTGGGGGAATGTAGATGAATGCAGAGCCACGCGGCAGCCATGGTTGTCAAGGAGCTCCGCGTTTCTGGTGCCAATAAACCTGAACGCACCTGGCGAAGCAGGCAAGACCCAACGATGGATTCTAAAGCAGGCGTCTACTCAGATTCCTCAATAAAAAAAAAACTAGATCTGAGATCTCATTCCAAGAACACAAATGTGATTTATTTCAGTTTACCAGATATAGTGGCTCTAATAAATAAAAAATTATATAATATACTATATATATATATATATATATATATACATACACAGTGGGGATGGAAAAAGTTTGGGCACCCCAGCTAAAAATTTGTATTAATGTGCATAAAGAAGCCAAGGAAAGATGGAAAAATCTCCAAAAGGCATCAAATTACAGATTAGACATTCTTATAATATGTCAACAAAAGTTAGATTTTATTTCCATCATTTACACTTTCAAAATAACAGAAAACAAAAAAAATGGCGTCTGCAAAAGTTTGGGCCCCCTGCAGAGTTAATATCTTGTACTGCCCCCTTTGGCAAGTATCACAGCTTGTAAACGCTTTTTGTAGCCAGCCAAGAGTCTTTCAGTTCTTGTTTGAGGTATCTTTGCCCATTCTTCCTTACAAAAGTCTTCCAGTTCTTTGAGATTTCTGGGCTGTCTGTCACGCACGGCTCTTTTAAGGTCTCTCCATAGATTTTCAATGATGTTGAGGTCAGGAGATTGTGAAGGCCATGGCAAAACCTTCAGTTTACGCCTCTTGATGTAATCCCCCGTGGATTTCGAGGTGTGTTTAGGATCATTATCCATTTGTAGAAGCCATCCTCTCTTTAACTTCAGCATTTTCACAGATGGCATCAAGTTACCATCCAAAATTTGCTGAAATTTTATTGAATCCATTTTTCCTTCTACTCGTGAGATGTTCCCTGTGCCACTGGCTGCAACACAACCCCAAAGCATGATTGATCCAACCCCATGCTTCACAGTTGGACAGAGGTTCTTTTCATTCAATTCTGTGCCCCTTCATCTCCAAACGTACCTTTGCTCATTCCGGCCAAAAAGTTCAATTTTAACCTCATCGGTCCACAGAACTTGTTTCCAAAATGCATCAGGCTTGTCTATATGTTCATTTGCAAAGTTCAAACTGATGATTTTTGTGGTGAGGACGTAGAAGAGGTTTTCTTCTGATGACTCTTCCATGAAGACCACATTTGTACAAGTATCTCTTTATAGTGGAATAGTGTACCACAACTCCAGTGTCTGCCAGATCTTTCTGGAGGGATCGTGCAGTCAAACGTGGGTTTTGAATTGTTTTTCTCACAATCCTGCGAGCTGTTCTGTCTGATATTTTTCTTGGTCTTCCAGATCTTGCTTTAACTTCCACTGTTCCTGATGACTGCCATTTCCTAATTACATTCCGAACAGAGGATATTGACATCTGAAAACACTTTGCTATCTTCTTATAGCCTTCTCCAGCTTTGTGAGCCTCAACTATTTTCAGTTTCAGTTTTCTAGACAACTGCTTAGAAGAACCCATGGTGCTGATTGTTGGGGCAAGGTCAGATGAGTCGGGGCATTTAAAACCTTTGAGATTGACATCACCTGGTCTTCCCAGATGATGATTGAGAACAATCCATGACACTGGCAGGTCTCAGCTTGGCAAAGGGGGCAGTGCATGCTATAAATTCTGCAGGGGGCCCAAACTTTTGCAGACGTCATTTTTTTGTTTTCTGTTATTTTGAAAGTGTAAATGATGGAAATAAAATCTAACTTTTGTTGACATATTATAGGAATGTCTAATCTGTAATTTGATCTTTCCTTGGCTTCTTTATGCACATTAATACAATTTTTTAGCTGGGGTGCCCAAACTTTCGATCCCCACTATATATATATATATATATATATATATATATATATATATATAAGCCCCCCCCCTTTTCACCAGGTGATCCTGCCAGTATTAAATTACATGTCCCTGGGATAATTCTTGTTGTTGGGGGGGTCTATTGTTGCTGGTGGGGGATAAGCTATAGAGGAAGGGGTCTATAGATGCTGGCTGCTGGGGAGATCTTTTATTGCTGATAGTCTATTGTTGCTGGCGAGTGATCTATTGACGGTGGTTGGAGGACCAATTGGTGCTGGGAGGGACCTACTGTTGAAGTCTATTGATGCTGGCTGAGGAGAGATCTATTGTTGCTAGCTGCAGAGGATCTATGTTACTGCTTTTCCTGTTATTAACAAATTCCATACAAATGACACAAAATTATACTTGGTTTTGAATTCTCTAAAAGGTGAGGAGGTGGGTAGGGGGTGGAGACCAAGGCACTGTGCTCAGAGGTGGGTAGGGGGTGGAGACCAAAGCACGGTGCTCAGAGGTTGGTAGGGGGGTGGAGACCAAGGCACTGTGCTCAGAGGTGGGTAGGGGGTGGAGACCAAAACACGGTGCTCAGAGGTGGGTAGGAGGTGGAGACCAAGGCACTGTGCTCAGAGGTGGGTAGGGGGTGGAACCAAGGCATGGTGCTCAGAGGTGGGTAGGGGGTGGAACCAAGGCACTGTACTCAGAGGTGGATAGGGGGGAGACCAGGAGTGATTCCGAAGGTGGGGGGAGTAACTGCACCTGTTCTCTGAAAAACAAAAGCCCTGGAGAGGTGTACTGTAGTTCCCAGAGAACTGATAACACCAATAACAGTGCAGCATACATAGCCTCCTGCTTCCTGTCCCCTGCAGTACCTCTTCTTCACCACTAGATGCCCTCAGTATTCCTAGTTAAATGATAGCATGTAGATAGAGGACATACTGTGAGTACAGAAGAGGTACTGCGGGGGACAGGGAGGAGGAGTCTATGCTGCACTATTGTTGGTCTGGAGGCCCGGAGCCCAGGAGTTCAGCTTTAATAAAATAGGCATTTTCCTTTCAGATAACGGAAATAGCAAGGAAATGGCTACACTCATCAGGGACCTACTTGCTGCAGTTGATGATGACATCTTCCGGCACAATCCTCCTTTTTAACATGCCCTGCTTGGGGTGGTCGCCTCGCCCCCGAAACAAGCCGGGTGGCTCAGTCTTGAAGTTCCCAATCTTCTCTTTGTGATGATCCAGGAGGCAGTAACCAAACTCCTCCACAATCTTCTGGTTCTCTTCCTTCAATTTCTATTGCAGGGCAAAGAGAAGAGATGAAACAAAGGTTTACAGAATAGTTTCCCTACAAGTCCCTAAAAAGGAGAATTGTAACGCAGGATGGGGTCCCAACAACACAAAAATTGCCCAAATTACCCTTAAAAAAAATTCATTATCGCAATAAATATCTTATTCCCTTTAGGCGTCATGTACAGGGCTTGTTTTTTCAGCTGCAACGCCAGCACTGAATGTATGTAATGGCAAGGGGTGATGGGGGTGTGCTGGAGAGACCTATTGTTGGTTCCATGGGGTCTATTGTTGCTGGGAAGGATCTATTGTTACTGATGGGGGTCTATGGCTTCTGGGGGATCTCTAGTTGTGAAGGAGGAGGTCTATTGCGGCTGGTTGGGGCATCTATGGTTGTTTCTGGGGTCTTATGTTGCTGGGGGGTCAATTGTTGCTGGAAAGGATCTATTGTTACTGGGGGGCCTATTGTGAGGGAAATCTATATCTGCTGGGGGATCTCTAGTTTTGAGGTAGGTCTATTGTTGCTGGTTGGGGCATCTATGGTTGTTTTGGGGGTCTTATGTTGCTGGGGGGGGGGGGGGGGGGGGGAAATTGTTGATGGAAAGGATCTATTGTTGATGGGTAGTCTTTTTTTTTGGGGGGGAGGGGTCTATTGTGAGCGAGGTCTATTGTCACTGGTTGGGGCATCTATGGCTGTTTCGGGGGTCTTATGTTGCTGGGGGGGTCAATTGTTGCTGGAAAGGATCTATTGTTACTGGGGGTCTAACTTTTCTAGGGGGATTTATTGTTGTGAGGGAGATATCTGCTGGGAGATCTCTAGTTGTGAGGGAGGTCTATTGTTGCTGGTTGGGGCATATATGGTTGTTTTGGGGGTCTTATGTTGCTGGGGTGGCAATTGTTGACGGAGAGGATCTATTGTTACTGGAGGTCTAATTTTTTTCTGGGGGGGATCTATTTTTGAGGGAGATCTA